AGTATGAGTATGTGCTGTCAGACCACCTCACTGACCTTGAATCCACCGGGGACCTGGGTCTGGAAGACGCCGTGGGGGTCGTATTTCTTGGCCACCTGGGCGATGAACCGGACGTTCTCCGCGCCGTACCCGCGCAGCGGGCTCTGGGACTGGTCCGCGTAGTTGAGGTAGATGTACTCGTTGGCGGCGCCGATCGACTGCGCGTAGGCGTCGAGGTCGGTCAGCGCGGCGCGGCCCAGGCGCGTGAACAGCGCGTCGTCTCTTGCGTCGTCCCAGGAGTAGTCATAGAGGACCTCTGTTCGATTCTTGTCAGTTATGGTGGTCTTTTGGTGGGGTTGGATTTGGGGGATAGGGGAGACTGGGTTGCTTACGGACGAGGTTCTCGTCAAACCGCTCCAGACCAAGCACGTTGCCACCCTGCGCCGCGGTATGCTCCCAGAACAGCTTGGGCCAGGGCTGGACGATGGTGTCCATGGACCAGGACTCGCTTTGGGCCTCGGCCTTGGCCGTTTCGATGTTCTCGTTGTGCAGCGCGATGGCCTTGCGGAGGACCTCGGCGTCGTTGCGGTAGGTGCCGGTTGTGAAGATGTCGCTGGATCTGTTAGGGACGTTGTTTGAAGGGGAGTGAGGGTGGAAGCGTACCGATATCCCTCCGCCTGGACCAGCTCTTGGGTGAGGTTGTAGATGGTGGCGAACCGCATCGTGTCGGTCGTGTTCTTGATCGCCACAAACTCGTCGAAAGGCGCCGGATACGCGACGGGCTTCGTGTATTCCAGCGCATCGGCGATGATGTTCTGTCCCGTCGTCGAGCTGTACTCCCACATGCCGATCCACGACGCATAAGGGTCGTTGTGGATGTTGTCCACGAAGTTCACGGCGGCGGAGATCTGCTGCTCGGTGGTGGAGTTGTCGTACACCACCAAGCCGCCCCACAGGCCATCGTGGGGAAGGGTCTTGAGGTCGTACTTGGTGACGATGCCGAAGTTGATCGAACCGCCCTTCAGGGCCTTGTACAGGTCAGGGTGGCTCGTTCGGTTGGCATTGACGATCGAGCCGTTTGCAAGGACCACCTCGAAGTTCTCGACGTTGTCGCATGCAAAGCCCACGCGCGCCGTGTAGAAGGTGTTTCCACCTGTGGTGTGTGAAGTTAGATGAGACTTGCTCGATGGGTGCGGGTAGCTTGCATGCACGTACCTCCGATCAGGAATCCGCCCACGCCAACGGGTCCGCCACGGCCACCGGGCACGGTCACTCCGTAAGGATCAAGGGCCTTGTATACTGCCTGCCACCGCGAGCCGGGCAGGATCGATGCGACGCCTTTGTCTGCATGGTATGTCGTGCTGTTCATCATTGAGAGATCAATGGTAACACCCTGCTCGATGTCTGCTGCACCGGCCCACGTAGTGTGGCCGCCGCTGCGCACTGCAAACTTGCATTGGGATTCACCTGCCTGCACCAGAGTTGAGACGGCAAGCGAAACATCATCGGCAGTGTGTGGCTGGACAATGCATGAGGGGCGTAGCTGCGCATTCACAGCGAAATAAGACGTCAGGGATTCAATGTAGGCCACACTGTTGGGGAAGGTAACATGGTCCCGGAGGGAGGTGGCTTGAAGTGCGGAACACTGGGAAAATTGGGAATCAGCCGGGCTTTGCCCTTTGATGTACCGATTGGTAGTCAGCTTACGCAGGAAGTGGTATTTGACCCATAGGCTTCAGGCAAGAAGCCGAGGAGGGGTGCTAATGCGGTAGAGGCCTTCATTGTGAATCTGGTTTGACAGAGGCTTGACGATTCTTGCCGTCGCTTTCTATAGAATCTCACTGCCTCTTATAGTCGGACACAGGCCTGCCGGCTATTGTTCGGCTGCGAAAGTAACCGACTTCCATGGTCACTTGAGGAGCTACTCCGAGCAAGCACCTATTCTCTGTATGATCTCGAGTGGTTCGATGCTAAGACTAGCCACGACGAGGTATGCGCTAAGGTTTGATTGCAATTTCATTGTGCGGAGCACGAAGGTAAGGTACTCTGTAGCCCAGGAGCACGCCCATCAGTGCTTGTAGTAACATGCCGATCGATGCAAGCCGCCAATAGTAGGTAGATGGATGGAGCAGGAATGGTGCACGACGGACTGAGCCAGCAGCAGAGTCGGTGGAGCCTCTTTGATACATTGCGGGATTTCTTGTTCGAGCGAGAGATAAATTTGACCGCGAGAGCATTAACTCAAAGACAGAACACCCCTGTCTGACTGTCAGCCCAGATGGGAGACTGTGCCCGAATGTCTAATCTTGCAATTCGCAACGATGGATGGCTGGCTTGGGCCTCTCAATCCGCGGGCCGCCTGTCCGTAAGCCCCCAAGTGGGACTCCCGGGGTGGCTCTAGTGGGCACTGGCTCTCCGGATGGAGTACCGCAATAAGCTTGTGAGTTGGTGTCCAAAGTGGAGTCTGAGGCGGAGACAACGCAAAGCAACAAGGAATGGGCCAGGAGAGCGAAGGGCTATTGTGACCGGTCATCTGTGGGAGGGAGGCACAAGGGGGTATCGCCCGACCTCGGCCACGGTGATTGATGCCAACTTGCTTCCGTATAATGCCAGCTCGATGTTGCGAAGACGGTGTCTTGAAGGTTGTCTCATTGTTAGATGAGAAAGTGATCTAGTAGAAGACATGACATTTAGCGTTGGCTTCTCAGAATGCGCCGGAATCGGGAATAATACCCCAAAGAGAAATGAGCATGTAGCCTCGGGGATCTTTCTCAAGACAATAACAGAACAAATGCATTTGTGGAAGCGATTGAGTAAGAGAAAAAGGCGAGATCCCTCCAGGCTGCCTGGTGTCATCGACTAAAAGAGACTATGGCCGCTAAGCGGGATCGTCAATCAACGGCGGCTCGTGCTGCTTCCAGATCCGCTCCACCTCCATCTATTCTGGCGCCATATGATCCTGGCATCAATGTGGAGCTTGTCTCGATCCAAGGCTTCCCCCCTGTGTCCGACATCCTAGACGGACTACGGTTATTAGTCGGTCGCTCAGGAATACCCAGAAAAGAGACAGGGAAGGAGATGACTTGATTGCGGACCTGCTTCAAAGCCCGATCAGATCCCTGGCCAACTAAATCCTTTAGATCTGCATTCGCAATGAAAGGAGCGACTAGCCGAAGGCTCCAGAATTCGAAGCACCGCGTTTCTTTTTTCCGGGTCTCGAGAATTGTACCATTTATCCAGGCTGTGCCACCATGACAGGCTGGATGCTTGTCCTGTTTTGAGGCAATGTCCATCATTTAAAACCGTCAGCAAGTTGGAGAACAGCATGACATCGAGTAGTGTATAATAGCTGGGATCTGTCCAACACGCAGTATGGCCAATGTCACAGCGGCTGAGCCTCCGCCAGGACAGACGTATGACTTTGACTACTCCGATCCTCACTTATACAGGGCCAATGTGGTGATTGTCGCCTTGGGGTTGACACTGAGTACAAGCTGTCTCGCTGTGCGAGTGTTCACCAAGGCACAACTGCTGCACAAGTTCGGATGGGACGACGGTATGTCTTGGTGGTGAACCGAGTGGGTTGAAGGCTGATTATAAACAGGATCGATCATTCTCGCCTGGGTATGCAAATGCATCAATGTACAAACGCCTTGTGCTAATCTGGAACCGAATACAGCTGTTCGCCTTAGGGACTCAGGCATGCTCACTTTGTACGTCCCCCCATCGTACTCAAACCTGCGCTCATCCCTCTCTAACTATCAATTTCTTTCCACAGACGGCTACCACCACGGAGGCATGGGCCTTCACATCTGGAATCTTTCCCCGGAGATATATGAATCATACATCAAGGTCACAATCCACCCCGCCATGTACCGCCACAGCCATCTCATACCACCACGCAGGTCGTCCTCACAGCCGCCATCATCTATGTCCCAGCGCTTGCCCTCGCCAAGATAAGCCTGATCATTCTTTACTACCGCATCCTATGTCAAGAACGCTACCAGCAATGGGCGTTGTCCACGCTCGCTTTTATCGTCAGCAGCTACAGCGTAGCCCTGATCTTCGCATTCATTTTCGGCTGTCACCCTATTCAGAAGGCATGGAGCCCAGCACTCACGGGCTACTGCATCGATCAGTATGCACTTTACGTCGCCACCGCAGTGTTGAATATCATCACAGATGTTGCGTTGATTCTGTTCCCGATCCCTACAGTCACAGGTTTGAACATGCCAACAATACAGAAGATAGGGTTGCTCTTCATGTTCATGGTTGGATGCGCGTGAGTCGATCTGCTCTTGATGCTGTTGTCTAAGGTTCTGGGAGATGACAAGCTGACTCAATTGACAGAACCTTAGTAACCGGGATCATTCGTTTGGCTACCCTTATTCCTTTCTTGAACTCTAGCGATCCGACCTACAGCATCGGCTGGCCGGATCTGTGGATGTAAGCTGCCCAATCCCTCTCCCAGGTGTCATGACCAAATTGGGACCCATCTCTAACCTCCTGGCAATACGGTAGAAACATCGAAGCCAACTTTATCATCATCTGTCCCTGCTTACCGTTCATCCGTCATCTCCTCCGTCGTTATGCGCCCCGCCTGATTGGCGAGCATAGCAGTCTCGCGCGTCGCTACATGCAGAACTACACCTACAACTATACTCGGGAAAGCACGCGGGCACGGCGGAAAGAAGGACTCACTCAGCTGCAAATCGAGATCGAACTCGCTGAGAACGGCAACGTGAAGATTGTGAAAGAGATCCAGTGGGAAGTCACTACCGAGGTGACGACCGCCGTTCACGGGCATGGATCCGAGGCGGAGATGAATCGGCATAGTGCCATCTTCAGGGGGGACTAATGGGGCTCGTTTGTATATATTACCTTAGAGCATGAGGCAGAATATTGGAGAGCTCTTACTTCAAGATTAAACTTATCCTGAACGAATACAACTCCTACAGAGCCAAGGAATCGGGGAAACAAAAGAGAAAGGGAAGCCCAACATAGATACCCTAACCCAGTGCTCAAGCAAAAAACTCAACGTCCAAGAACCACCCCAGCGCCCTAGACAGCGTGGTACCTCTTCGACAATTTTGTCCACCTTCCCTTTCGCCTCGCGCAGCCGGTCCTTGGCCTGCCGCAACACCTTTCCTGCGGCCGCGAGGGTCGCCTTCGCCGCGTCGACCTCGGCCTGAAGCGCCCCCAACTTCTCTTTCCTCGATCTCGACGGACAGCTCGGCGCGGCGCAGCTTCTGGCCCAGAGTGAGGTTGCGCGAGTTTTGCTCGTCCTCCTGGTCCTCAATTTTCGTTCCCGGGGTCTGCTCCCGCGCCCGCAACAGACCGCTGGGTAGCTTGTAGCCACGGCCGAGAAGCTCCTCGCGTATCTAAAATATACTTAGTAGTATGCCTCTCCCCCCCTCGCCCTCAGGGACAACCTTGATCATGGCTCTTACTTCGAGGCGCTCGTCGGCTCGGATCAAATCCGCAGCAGCCGGATGCGCAGACACGCCTGGAGTTACGGGCGGAGAGGCAACAGCTGGAGCTGCAGCGGACCGAGTGTCTGGCTGCTGGGATGGCGCCAGGTAGGCATAGGGGCTCTGATAGCTATTTTCTGGCCTCATTTCGCTCTCCACAGCTCGGCAGGTCGAGGGAAGAGGTTCCTGATTGGGGGTTGAGTGGCGCGCAGCTGGCTTTCGAACCCCTGCCGGCGAAGGCCGGAGTACAGGGAGCTTGACGCTCTTCTTCTGCGGGGCTTTGTTAGAAGTGTTGTTGTAGAGGATCGAAGGGGAAGGATATGGCTGGTCGAGGTTCTAGGTGGCTAAGTAAGGTGTGCTTACGCTGTCTGGGCGGCACAGAATTCGAGTTTTAGTCATTTTCTTTTTCCTATCGAGGGCAGCTGGAGGGAGACTTACTGGAGTTTGTCATGGAGTTCGGGATATTGATGATCATGCGATGTTGGGGGGTCTAGAGGTGGAGTTGGAAAGGATGGTGATAGTGGAAAACCTCGACAACATGAGGTAGAGCTGAACCTATGGCTGTGGCCAGTTCTGTCCTTCGCAAGGTGTTATTTGAGAAACCCTTCGTGTTTTTACCTTCTAGGAAGTGGTCTGTTTATACGATGGTCTTTCTCTGTCCCCGGTCTCAGTGAATAACAAGTGCCTGATCATGCCTATGCTGAAAGATCTCCGCGTGCTTCCTTCACTGCCTTGCGGATACCACTACCGCTCACTTGCAATAATATCAGGTTTAATGAAATCAATACAGTCTAGGGACTCATCAACCATTCAAAGAAATTGGTTGACAGCCAACCGCAGGATATACACATGACACCGAGTCAACAAGTAGATAACCTGAAGATCTAAACACAAGATCTCTTCATCCAAGGGATGTACGTTAACCAAGACCACTCAGTCAAACACACTCAGGTAGCAACGGATTCCATTCTAGATAGATCTTGGAACATAAAGAAGCTACAGATTCAGTCAACATGCAAAGCATCCACACTAGCCAACAACCCCAGCAACAGAAGAACCGGTCCAACACCCCCGATAAACGCCATGATTTCCAAGTAAACACTGAATCAGAGCTTGGGAAGTCCAGGGGGCACCTTCTGCCGCACGTCTATCTCACGACAAATGACCGCCAGGAGATTGTTGAAGATATCTCTTCGATTAAGGCAGGTCTTGCTGCGATTCCCCCGCATCCAATCAGCTTCAAGTTCCATCAGCAAGGACTCCAGGCTTGCTTTGGCTTCGAGGAGCCTGCGTGTCTCATCAGTCGCTATCACGGCTGATCGAGCTACACCTTTCAGATAGAGCACTTACTGAAGCATGATGAAGGGGTCACGGTGGGTTGGCATCTTGGAATAGAGGGCTGTGGGTATCAGATTCAGTGGGGTCGGTTCTGAAGTTCTTGGTCTAGGTTTGAGTGTTAGGTACGTTGTATGTGAAGACTCCCAAGGTATATTTGGCTGAGGCGCGCTGTATGGACTCAAGGCAAGGGGTCGAGGGACAGGTTGAGGTGGGTTGTACTCACTAGAAGAAGTGGTTAGTTCTTGTGTTTCACACAGTACAGGAAGTGAGGTGCTTACCAATGAAGGTGACGATGAAGAAGACGACGATGGTTGTGACGGTGATCACAATCAGCATCATGGTAGGGAGGTGGATGGGAATAAAGTGAGAAGAAGAAGAAGAAGAAGAAGAGGAGGAGGAGGAGGAGGAGGAG